CAGCATACCAAGAGAAAGGAAACGCAGCGATGATCTACGTGGACTATAAGAACATCACCGGTGTTGTAAAGCCTGGGAACAGGATCTTTATTGATGATGGACTCATCTCGATTATCTGTGAATCATCTACTGCTGATACTCTCGTCTGCACCATTGAAAATGGAGGTAAGTACAATTTATTTACCATCTTCTTTCCTACCTTATAGGGTCGGCGGGATTTCCTCCTCCAAATAACTCTTTCATCCGTCATGTTACCACTCCCTTGGTCTTATCACCTTTCACGCACTCCATCTATTTCTTGGTCTACCTCTATCTTTTGACCTCATATATAAAATTCTCCTTGTAATATGCCCATACAATGCTAACCTTTTAAACTCGGGAATTTCTCTACCACTGTTTCTTTCGGGCTTCACTTCGAAAAACACTAATTGGAAGGGAATAAGCAAATTTTTGTTTGTTAAGGTATGCTTGGATCTAGAAAGGGTGTGAACCTGCCCGGTCTACCTGTCGACTTGCCCGCTGTGTCTGAAAAAGATAAGTCTGATCTCCTCTTCGGTGTGGAACAGGGTGTAAGTATTAAAACTAGCTTTACCCGCCACTATCCGCGTGGAATTAAAAAAAATGAGTAGCCTATGTGTTCTTCCAGACTGTCCTCTTTAACCATATCAAATTTTATTGCAATCCGTTTAAGCAAACTCTAGCAAACATCCATCCATTTCTTTTGCATTTATATTATATGCTATTAATTCTGCATTTATATGCCGTGTTTGATTATTCTCGTTGTCGAATATCAAGCAAATTACTAAAACATTTTGTTTTAATTATGCAATATTCATTATATTTTCGATTTTTAATTCCTGGGGTTTATATCAGTGGTCTAATTCAATAAAAAAAAATCTTTAGTAAAAAGAGATTTTCGTCTAACACTTCGATATAATTTACGAACTAGTAAATGGTTAGCAATGACCATCTGGTCGCGTAACCACGTGCTTCTTATCATTTCACACGTGATAACGCGACCTTCTATTTGCTATATTATGTTGTTTATATCCGATATTTGCTAAAGATTACGTTACCATGACTGTTACGTAAACATTTCGTTTATGGTCGCATATTTTAGTGGAAAAAGATCTTAAATCGTCTTAGTTCAATCCTTTCTTGGTGTAGTTAAAAAATTCTCAAAATTTTTCAGATTAACAACAATTCTTAATATTCGTCGTTTTTACCGAAAATAAAAAAGTAACGGTCGAATTCTGAAACGACATTTAAGAAATTGTCGGTTACATTTACTTAAACGATTACTTAAAGGCCACACTTAAACTGCAATTAGTTATTATTATCATTTTGACGTTTTATTGATTGTAGGCCAGTACTAAGCGCTGTTTTCAAGATTCCTTTTAGTATTCAGCTTTAAGTATTACCCAATTCTTCGATAGATTAAATATGTCAAATCTACACTAAGGGTGTCCCTTAACAATATCAGGTGGATATGATCTTTGCGTCGTTCATCCGCAACGGCGCCGCGCTGACGGAGATCCGCGGCATCCTCGGGGAGAAGGGCAAGAACATCAAGATTATCTCCAAGATTGAGAACCACCAGGGCATGGTTAACCTCGACGAGATCATTGCAGTTAGTATACAACTTACACCAATCACCTAGAGGGGCAGGCAGACACCAACATTTGGCTCGATCTTGACACACCTCTCTCTCTCTTATACATCATGTACACATTACAATTTTTTTTTGGCAACACAGCTATTTAACATTAGTTACCTTATTCTGTATTATTAAATAATTGAAAAAGTTTATTATATTAGCCACCATGTATGGAATTGATTCCTTTGTTTATCTAATTTTAGTGTTTATAAGATAAAACTTAAAAAATATGTCTTTTTGACTATAGGAGTAAATCTAACCAAAGATCTCTGTTCTTCTGATCATCTGTTCTTTTGAATCTCGTATCTAATACCAGTAAAAGCTAGTTACAATTTTGCATGTTACCCAATTTGTAACTCAGCAGCAGGATGTAGGCAATCTGCACAATCTGTGATATTCACAATCATTGTAAAATTGCATCCTCGCTATGACCTATATTGATATACTAGCTTTTTTATATTTATTCTCAAAGCTTTAACTGCAATCTTATCAACAGATCCTAAAACGATCCATTGCATAATAGTGGTCTTTTTAGGTCACTTTCGGTGGTTGTAATGCATGCTATTCTGTAGTATATTGTTACATTTTTTACATCAAATTCCATCTATATTGGACAATTTAATTAAAAAAATAGCTTTTCTCAAAGGTATAAAATTTCATTTTGACATCAATTAGTTAGGTTTTATTTTAGACTAGCTTTTGCCCGCGACTCCGTCCGCTTGGAATTAAAAAAACAAAAATAAGTAGCCTATGTGTTTTTTCATACTATCTTCTACATCTATGCCAAATTTTATGGTGATCCGTTCAGCCGTTTGGGCTGCAAACTCTAACAAACATCCATCCATCCATCTAAACTTTCGCATTTATAATATTAGTAAGAATTAGTAAGATTTGTGTATTATTTAAAAAAATATGAATCATGATAAAATGTGTGCTTTTTAAGGAATAATTCTTCTAAAACAGTTATCTATTGTTTTAGGAATAAATGTTATTTATTTAGTTTTACAGTGTTTGTATTTTGCAGGCATCTGACGGTATTATGGTTGCCCGTGGAGATCTTGGCATAGAAATCCCTCCGGAGAAAGTGTTCCTCGCACAGAAAACTATGATCGCTCGTTGTAACCAAGTAAGTTAACATATTTATATTTGTAAATAAATATTAATAAAATTAAATTGTTTATTACAACATAGAATATGGAAAAAAATCCAAGCTCATTTTAAATTGACAATAACAAAGTTTGTTTCTCATTGCTTGTGTCCAATGTTACGAATTCAGCTCTTATAACTGTATGACAAAATAAGTTTTCAGAAGGTAGATAGAAAGATTTTTAGAATTTGCCCTTACTTTACCATCATGCATTATTTCCTATCAAAATAATAATGGCTTATGGGTTTAAGCTCTTGACTATAATCTACAGATCTTGGGTTCGAATCCCGTTATATCCCAATGTGATTTTCGATATTTGAATTTCATATAATTCTTACGGTGAAAGAAAACGCGATGCCTACACAACTGTAGAAGAAATCCAAAGATATCTGTGAAGTCAACCCGCAGTGGGCCAGCGTGGTTGACTAAGACCTATTCAATCTAGACCTACACCTAGTCAACCTAGACCTAGTAAGACCTAGCCTTAAATATAGGCTCCCAAAATATCTTTTTTATTATTCAACATACATAATACCAACACGTCACATGTGACTTAATTTTATTTTTAGTAAAGTTAATAATGTTTTTTTAGTTAATGCAATTTGTATCCATTTTGGACACCAGTTAAAACCCGGAGGTGCAATAAGTAATTTTTTTATATATTTTCAGGTCGGCAAGCC